TTATATATTATTAATATTAATAATAATAGTATTATATAACATTATTATTAATATATTTTTGTATTATTGATGTATAATTAAGACGTCGGGAGTTTGGATAATAAACATGCATTAATGTACACGTATATGTACAAAGTTGTAAATAACTAATTAAATATATATATATAGAGTCCGTATATACGTAAATTTTGGTGGTATATTTATAAGTTTAGCCACACAGTCTGAATGCACATAGCCCTATATTAGTAAAATTTAGATCAATTCTACCACAAAAAACGGCAGGTATAAAAACCAATAATGTGGGCTCCTGTGCCGTATTCTCTGCAGGGGAAATATATTGTGGATTATAATACAATGAATATTGTTGTTATATAGGTGCTGTGTATTTTAAATGTGATTGGTTCATTCGTAGTCACATGACTTTAAATAAATGCAATGTTTCCCGCCAGGGAAACGAGTGAAAAATTGTTGCCCGCCTATTGTCATAACAAAGTAAAGTGGTTTTTTTGAAATGATGTAAAATAATGTTTTTGTTCCTATATATAACAAAGCACTTAATGTACACTACCTCGGGAAATAGTGAGTTTTGTTTTCCCTCGAGTTTCAATGTTTCAAACATTCAGACTCTTGGGAAAACAAAACTCACTACTTCCCTCGGGGGCATTCATTAAGTGTATAAATAGTATAATAGTCCCATAGTTTTGAAGAATCTCTTTATAGCAATCATTCCAAATTTTGCAAGAACGCTATGGATGCCAACATTGGTTTGGTCAACTCTGTTGGAAAACTAGTAGCGGTTTCCAAGATGGATAGAGTTATTTTGTTTAGCCTAAAACGGCATCAAAGTAAAATTAATACGACGTCTAGTCGAACATAGTCGTCAGCAATATGTTTTTGCAACTGTTAAAACTTGTTGAAACCTGTTCCTGGGGTGCAACACAACGTCGTTCAAACAAGGGCGCTTATATGATCTATATATATATATACGTAGCGATGTAAAACAAGGTTCTTTAGGCAACTATTTTTTAAGCAATAAAGCTAATAATAACCATTCCTACCATTCCTTTTCATCATCTGGAAGTTTCGGAATACTCTTTTTGTCTTTCACTACAAGTTTTGATTTGAAAGTTTTAAAATGACCTTCCACCTCTTTCTTTTGGGCTAATAGTTCTTGGCACCCAAGCAGGTTGATCGATTGCTAAATTTCGTTAGAAATGAGAAAAAAAAGAAATCAGACCAAAGAGCGACTTGTTAACATTCATTTTGTCACTATAATAACTATATGTATAGAAGGACTGGAGGAGTACATCTTTGATCAGGAGGCTGGAGGAGTACATCTTTGATCAAGGGGTTGTGCAAAAAAGCGATGCCCTGATTGTTCCCTTTGTGTAGGTATATAAACTTGCAGCACTGGTTATTGAGAAGAATTTGGGATTTCCTACATGAAGGGAAGTTTAGAGTACGTTTTTTCCTAATTTCACTATACCGTATCTTCTAGGTGCCCATCATGCAAACCAACCCACCCTCCATCACAAAACCCCTGTAATCCAGCTCTGCACATATAATGTGATAATTCAAAATTCATAGTAACAAGGAATGCGACTATTATACTTTTTGTGAAAAATTAACCAAAGAAACAAGCAGAAAATACCCTCGGAAGGTTACCATGCATACTAAATTTATGCTTTTATGTCTTTGTATAACATTTTGATGTATGAAATTACGGTATAAATCATAGGCAATGGGGAAACGTCGACTTTTAACTTACATAAAGCAACGCCAATTGATGAGCCATGTACTTGTGGTTGGAGCGATTAAACGCATCGTAATTCAACTGATGGGATAATGTAACTAGTTGGTTCAACAACCCAAAGGTACTGAAATGTTCTGTGATGATAATATGTACAATTGACAAAATATAAAACAGCTACAATGATATACAGGGTGTCCCAAAAAACCCGAAAACTATTGAAATCACCCATAACAATGCAATTGTTAGAGTTTGAATGCCTAAGCACTCTGTTGGGACCCACAAGTGTATAAATGTTTACCATACTCATTTTTATGCATGCATATGATGCAGTAAAATTTGCTTGTTCGCAAAAATGATATTTATTAACAATATTTACAATTTGCAAATATGGATAACATTATTTAAATGTGCATTTCAAGGACCATGATCTTCGACATGTCCCCTTTCTCTAGCAACACAAAGCATTTAGCATTTCATAAGTTGCATTAAATCCCCACAGGCTGAAATTCGTTAACATGGCATTCAAATTTTAACAATGAGTGATTTCAATAGTTTTCTTTTTTGGGGACACCCTGTATATCAGCACATGCACATTCCACATGTAACAATTACCACAATACAACACAATGTATAACACAAAGCTGTATAAGGAATCGTAGTTTGACACAATACATAACAACCCCCAAACTATCACAACCCAAGTATGTTTCACAAAAAAAAATCATTAGTACCTTCAAGAAGATACTCCTGGGCAAAAAATATTGGTCGTTCGGGGCTATCAATATAAGACATTACTCTTGGGAAAAGCTCGGCTAAACCACTGTATTGTAGATACTCCTAAATATGTATACAAACATTATGCATATTATGGACTGTGGTCTCGACTCTTCAAAACGGCTTTTTAGTTTTAATGACATATGTGATAATAGACATTTATGTCATAAAATTATCACAAATTACCCAAAACACACCAAAAGCCTTATATTACCCTTCAGCGCGCGCGAACCCAGAATATGTTTTACAGGAGGCATACGAATGACTTAAGGGGACTTAGCTATATGTATAATGTGTACCGATTGCAGGATTTCCCTCACCCCCTTGTCATGCACTTACCTCTAAGGTAGGTTGCGGACTTGGCAAAAACTGCAGATACTCTTCCATCTTTCGAAGAACAACACGTGCTAAAGAAGTCATGGCAAAATTGGAAACAAAGAGATGTTTTAAAATTGCAGAAATAAGTTGTATGTTGGATCAATTACAGGTGTTCTGAATACAAAATAAGGACGCCTATGCATTAGAGTATTTGAGGCACAAGAGTTAGTGTAAGTCTCACCTTTCGGTTCAAACGAGTTTTGAAATTCATTCTTATGACTGTTGGTGATCTTTCCACTTTTAGTCTGGTAGTTAGAAAAAGATGATTTACACTATAAACCATAGTCGTCCAGAAGTATTTTGTAATTGTCCCCAGAATATGGGAACATGTGGTTGACTACTCCTAAAGACAACTCTAACCATGGGGATACAGCCTAATAAATGGGGGCAAGGGGGGAGTAAGGCCGAGTAAGGTGCAAGTTAGATACTACAGGTTCCCGTTTCCTAAATTTAGAATCTCTGAAATGCGATTCGCCCCATTTTATGACTTCTTTTGTAGCAAAACTGCCCAAATTACACAATTTATCACCAATTTTGCCCAGCTATGTGGTGTAGCCTACCCTGTTTATCTCCCACCATTGTTTTGGAGTTGCTAAACTAAAATTTAAATGAGAAACACCAGGTTGATGTTCAAAGCCAAATGAGCGCCCTAACTAAATCACTTAGCTATATTATGGCTATATAGGAACCTATCACTGGATATATAAAAAGACAAAAAAATACCTAAACTCAAAATAGTAGTGAATGAAACTATAATAAATCATTGTAGTATTCCAGATGATGATATTATAAAAAATATCATACAACACTTTATGGATTATACATACATTGTGGTTTTCCCACTATATCAACAAGGTCAAACATGGACATGTTCATATAAAGATATTTCACTCCTACAGTACTTACAGTATACTTTCTTTTACACAAAGGCTCAAGTTGTGAGCAGAGTGTCAAAACTTCAATAGCAACATCACTTGGAGATAAAAGAACTTTCCACAATGGTTCATCCAACTGTATATCAACTTGAAATAAAAAAACAACAAAAATGATTTTGTGATTTATTAAATGACCTGTGAGAGCATCTATTAATTTTAGAACAAGGCACCCTTTTTCCCATGCACCAATATATACATATAAAATTCTTTATGCAATCTTTTCTTCTTCTAATTTAATTAGAATTGCATTTAGAAAGTATTACATAAGCTAAAAATAATAGTTTGATAGTTCAGCAAAAAAATGATAATAGTTGTATAAAGACAAATTTGCTGAACTGTAGAAGATCGATCCCCTCCTTTGCCATATTGTTGCAGTTGACAAAATGGTTAGGAGAATTTTATTAGTTTTGCTACTCATGTCATAGGCCTTTTGTTCCATAATCTAGCATCCATTTTAAGGGAAGGTATTTAGCTATCTGCTTTTTAAAGTTTGGAAAGTTTCTTTCTTATTGCACTGGTAAGACTTTAAAAAATTAGATGGAAACCCATTTGCAGTAATCAGTAAAAAGAAATGAAATTCGCAAGAACTGTAACTGTTTATACATAACCTGAAAATAAGTCTAACAAGTAAATGCAGGCATATAAAACTTTATTTTCATTCAATGTATTATGTATACATATAGAAATAATAAAATTGTTCCGTTATCTGGTTTTATACATACTGTACACGTACCGCACCTTTGAAACGTGGATCATATGCTAATGGCGTCCGCAAAGGATGGGACAGAATGTAATCTTCGGTCATGATATTACACTCTTTCGATGAAAATAATATTTATATCTACTGGAACACTGCATCTGTTGCGAAAATAAGGCGTCTATGAAGAAACAACCTGACAACCAGAGACGCATTTTGTATATATAATGACAAAAAACATAAACAAGACACCCGGTTCATCTGGCAGATAGCAGTCGCCCCAGAGTTCATGACGAGCTCAAGATCTGGAGATAGCGGAAATGACGCATTTCCCTAACTACAGTGAACCAGACTAGCTATCAATAATATTAAATTCTGTAATTGTGCGCTGTTGTCTCTGTTGTCTCCGGCATTTCTCTGTTATCTTGCTCGCTGTAAAGATTTTTTTCACTGATATCGAAATCTCTTATAATCTTTTGTTTTGCTGAGAGAAGTCATGTCGAGGTGAAATATCTGGAGGAAATTTTGTTGCAGAAAAAGGGCTCGTTGGGAAATATTCGCATCGAATAATCGGTAAATAAATTTTGTTATTCAAATAATTCAAATATTGCGCCACAACGCGCGAAAATATGCGGGCTTTTCCCCAACGTACTGGGACTGTTCACTCCAGTACGTTACACATTTAGTACAAGCCCGTCCGTTTGGGGTGTTTTTTACCGGCTAATGGCGGTATGGAAAGAGACGAAACGGGTCAAGAATCAAAACAATTAAAGTTATTAAACAAGTGTTCGCTGACGATGATCATATTTGAAAGGCGAAAAACTTCATGTAACACGCACTACACGCACGTGATCTCGCGGTCAGAACGTTTGTCGCAATGTTTAGTTATCTTTTTTGGAACCGGTCTAGATTTTGTCATTATGTTTAGTTAGGGACTGGTCATAATTTAGCAGGGGGGTGGGGAGGTGGAAATAGTGGGGGGGTCACATATTTTTTAGCCAGAAAAAAGGGGGGTTCATAAAATGTTAGACAGTTATAAGGGGGGGGGTTGCTTATTTCTGGTTGTAATTATTTCTTTTATACATGCTTAGACTTTGAGTTGCACTGCATAAGCTTTGCTTAGAACATTAAACAAAATTAGTTATAGAATTTAAAATGAAAAGTTATATAAGTCACTGTGTTAAAATATTTATATTTTAAATAGCAGGGTCTTTCACTAGAAATAACTAACATATTATGTTTAAAACCAAATTTTAACATATGAATATGTCAAGGGTGGGTAGTATCGGAGTTGTTGGAGTTTGCAACTGTAGCGAACTACAATTTGCGAGTAACTGTATAGACTACTTTTTAAAACTGGTAGTTTGAAGTTGTCGCGAACTATATTTTCTATATTAAAAGTAGCGAAGTAGTTGATTACTTTTTCAACAACAATCGCTATTCGCCACTTTTCGATTTTTTAATATCCCTCGACTATATACTCTATAGTTCATACACTATAATACAAAACTAGTCATTTAATATACCATGTCAAATCTCGTTTGGACCCACATTTTGTTCTAGAATTCTTTGGCTCATCCGCCATTAATCCATAGTATCAGAATATATGAGCATATTATGCTTAACATTTCATATGTTTAAAACATGTGAAATCAATATAAATTACAAACACGGATACCAGGAATTTTGTTGTAGCGAAGTAGCGAATACTTCGCTACATTTTTCTAGCGATATAGCTGTACACGTAGTCAAAAGAACCAAACTACATATTTTTGACAATAGCAGTAGTTGTAGGTGACTACATTATTTTAAAATAGCAGTAGTTGTAGCGAACTACACAAAACTTGTAGTCTACCCACCCTTGGAATATATATAAGTGGACGTATATAAATTAATTTTATTACTTTATATAAACGTTGTCAGAAAAATTTTTGAAGGTGTAATTACTATTTTGAATTGACGGTGCAGATTACAGTAGTTTCTCATTTTGAAGCAGTGTTTATCAAAACGTTGACGGATGGGGGGGGGGCATTTTTACCGTCTCGAACAAGGGGAGGGGGCATGATTTTTTGTGGATAAGGCAAGACAGGGTTGCAAAATATCATTCCTTAAAATATTGAATTACACCTCCCCACCCCCCCTGCTAAATTATGACCAGTCCCTTATAAGAACTATAAAGTTGAAATATCACCGTAAAAATGTCTTGTTTTTTTAACTCACATCTTGAGTTTACAAGATGATGTTTTTCGGATCATGTTTTTTCTTGCATTAATGTACCCATTAATAGCATTTTTTTTATTTTTTCAACAAAATTCACAATTTAAAGGGGGATAACCACCTTAATGGTTTTAATGGCTTATATTTGTCAACTAGCCCCAGTCCTTCCAGCCTACGATATCGGCAATTCTTGGATGCAGGGTATTCCTTAAATATTGTATATCATATTAGCAGTAGGGAGATTAGCAGTTAGCAAAAAATTAACCTTTATAGGAGAACAAAACGAGCTTACTCTTAAACCAACAGTGAAAACTACGTTCTCTTGGTACTGTCCGTGTCCGTCCCTCGCCATTTTGAATTTGAGGAAACTGGGGAGTGGGACGGGTTTCTGAACTGAATACTCAGAACAGAAGGAAACTCCAGTGAACTCGAAACTCTAATGGAAAAAACTTGTTTTAAAAACATCGCCAATATCGCACTATCACAATAGAGAATTATGATCAAAATTGTTTTCGTCTAGACTGACGGAAAAGCTTGTATCACGTCTCACCTTTTCGAATTTCAAAATAATTTTAAACCTATCTGTTTGTGTTTGGCTAAGAATAATAGCAAGAACAATCAAATTTCATTTGTTAGACATGACAGTGCACAGGGAATTGAACCCTATAACCCATTTCGGTCCCGACACACAGGCACTGTTTTTTGTTTTGGTTTATTTTTGGGTTTCCACCATAGGTATAAATTTTATAGCTATGGCAACACTTTGTGCATGTTTGTATTGTGTAAATTCAAGTTATAGCCTTAATGCATTAAACAAGCTCAATAGAACTATTTTTATTTGTATGCGAGCATGAACATGTGAGCCAATTAGGAAAAGGTGTAAATGTATAGAGGGAAACCGGAGCGCCCGGAGAAAAACCCTCTCATGCAAGATAATTCAAACACTCTTTAACGAATGCATTTGCTAGTTCTTTGAATGTTCGATACCTAAAAAACAAATGTGAAAAGTTAGTAACAAATGTTAAATGACGAAACAAAACACAATAGAACAATAATATATTAGAACATATTAAATTCACAATTAAATATAATTAGAATAACTAAAATTAGAATGCCTTAAACTCAAAGTAATAGAAGTAAATAAATTGAAAAATATCGTAACATATACCACAGGTAAGAGTACTTCTAATCACGTTCCACACTAAATCAAAAGTAAAACATTGTTTTCTTGACATCAAATCGAACTCGACGTGTAAAATGTAAAAAGAAAATATTTATAACACTAATGTAAAAAGTAGATATTTATTGCATTACATGTACGCCAGAAGATATTTGAGAAAGAGATCAATACGAATTACAAAATGTACCAAATAGCTTCATAACTATGTTTAGTCTCTTAGTTTATGTTTGTCTCAACAAGAAAGAAAAAGTAAAAAGATAGGATCCGAATAATGAGTGGGATTATTTTGGGATTATCCATATGTGTGATTAGCTCAGCATTAACAGAACCAGTCAACAGACTTAGCCTCATATCACCCTGGTTCCAGCAGAGATTTATATTCTTGACTCAAACAAAATAACACTAAAGAGCACACCACAGTCGGCACTTCCAAAGAGTCCAAATATGAATGTTACTGAGAAACCGCTTTAAACACTCTTACGTAGTTTTATTTCAGCACAACGTCATTTCCCATTTCCCACGAATTCCTAATCCTTACTTGAACTTTTTCTCCACTTTTACTTAGTCTTGTTTTTGCATCATATCATTTTCCATTCCGAGGAATTCCTAATCCGCCTTATTTAAAGAAAAACTTAACTTTCTGCACTCTTACTTTTATACTTTTGTTTTTGTGTAGTATCATTCTCCATTTCTAAGAAATTCCTGATCCTCCTTATTTAAAAAAATAAATTAACTTTCTCCACTCCTAATTAGTTTTGTTTTTGTGCAATATCATTTCCTATCTCCGAGGAATTCATAATCCCCTTATTTCGAGAAAAAAGAACTTAACTTTCTCTACTCTTACTTAAATTTGTTTTTGCACAGTATCATTTTTCATTTGGCCGAGGAACTCCTAATCCTGAATGTTTGAAGAAGGAACAACTAAACTTTCTGCGCTCTTTGTTAGTTTTCTTTTTGCACAATATCCTGTTCCATTTCCAAGGAATTCCTAATCCTGCTTATTCGACGAAGAAGGAACTTAACTTTCTGCACTCTTAGTTAGCTTTGTTTTTGCACAATATCCTTTTGCATTTCCGAGGAATTCGTAACCTTGTTATTTGAAGAAGAAGAACTTAACTTTCCATCTCCGCGGAATTCCTTATCCCTATTTGAAGAAGAAAGAAATTGACTTTCCGCACTTTTAGTTGGCCTTGCTTTTGCACAATATCCTTTTCCATTTCTGAAGAATTCCTAATCCTCCTTATATGAAGAAAAATGTAACTTTTTCATTCTTGATTAGTTTTCTTTTCGCACAATATCTTTTCCTATTTCCAAGGATTTCTTAATTCTGCTTATTTAAAGAAGAAAGAACTTAACTTTCCGAACTCTTCCCAAGTTTTGTTTTTGCAATATCATTTTCCACTTCTAGGGAATTCCTAATCCTCCTTATTTGAAGAGGAAATAACTTAACTTTCTGCCCTCTTACTTAGTTTTGTTTTTCCAAAATCCTCTTCCATTTCTGAAGAATTCCCAATCCTCCTTATTTAAAGAAGAACTTAACTTTCCACACTCTTGCTTAGTTTTGTTTTGGTGCAATTTCCTGTTTCATTTCCGAGGAATTCCTAATTCGACGAAGAAAGAACTTATAACTTTCTGCACTCTCAGTTAACATTGCTTTTGCACAATATCCTTTTCCATTTCCGAGGAATTCGTAACCTCGTTATTTGAAGAAGAAAGAGTCTAACTTTACACAATGTTGCTTAGTTTTACTTTTGTGCAGTATATTAATAGCATTTTCCATCCCCGTGGAATCCCTAATCGTCATTTGAAGAAGAAAGAAATTAAAATTCTGCACTGTTATTTGGCTTTGCTTTTGCACACTATCCATTTCCGAGGAATTCCTAATCCTCCATATTTAAAGAAGAAATAGCCTAACCGTCTGCATCCTTGTGAATTAAAGATAAAAAAACTTAACTTGCTGCACTCTTACTTGGTTTTGTTTTACACAATATAATTTTCCATTTTCAATGAATTCCTATAATCCCCCTTATTTAAAAAAGAAAGAACTTAAATTTCTACATAGTTTTCTTTTTGCGCAATATCATTTTCCATTTCTGAGGAATTCATAACCCTTCCCATGCATAACGGGAGTTCGCTAGAAGAAGAGCAATCAAGATAGTGATTAAATAAACATGCA